CAACCCACGCGCGCTCGCATCAGCTCCGTCCCCGCAGCCGAAGCCACGGGTGCTCTCGCCGACCACCAGCAGCGTTTCCCTTAATTCACAGGCCGCTTCACAGCTCTCGGTGGAAACTCAGGATCTCACTTCACGTATTTCAATAGAGAATGGCGACACGTCGATATCTGCCGCCCCGGCTGCTCCGGGGGCGCAGCTCTCCTGTCCGATCTGCAGCGAACAGATGGTATGCTTGTTCCCATGTCCTGTTTGTTTGAAGATCGAGTGAGATGACGCTGACTGTATCCAGATGACCTTGCTGCAGTTAAATAGGTACCGATCCATCGCTCCCCCTTACGACCGCCAGAACGTATGATTAATGACTTGACGCAGACATCTCGACGACATCCACCAGAACCTGGAAGATAGTCACCAAGATGAAGTCAAAGATTGGTTCAAGGTCCAAATGGAAAAGGCAAGGAAGTTCCAGCCTTTAGCAGTTCTAAATCAGAAGTTGAAAGGCCTGGATGTATTCGAATCAAACGAGAACCAGGGCGCGCCTCTCCCCGGCCGCCCACTAGCACCCCATGCAGGCATCTCCGAACCTCCGAAATTTCTAGACCCCGAGGATCTCATAACAAAAGACCACTGGCAAAGAAGTTCTATGTACGACGAGTGTTTAGAACCATCGTGTGGGAAACGATTGAATGCCACCAACGGCTGCGTGAACTGTCGGAGTTGCGGGAATCTATTTTGCGAAGAACACACGATGTATCAAATGAAGCTCTCGCGGGCGGCACATCATGAACCGGTGCGAGGAATATGGGCTCGAGTATGCGAAACCTGTTATAAGTCAAGAGAGGGGTACAATGACCATAATGGTGAGCACGTTTGCTTTCGGTTCTGAACCAAGCTAATCAGGTAACAGGAACCGTGAGGAATCGAATGGATGCATTCAAGTCAATCAGAAAACAGACTGTCGACAAGGAGTTTTTGGAGATTTCCCGACTCGAGAAACGACTGACCCGCCTCACTCAGCTGCTGGCTAGTCTGCCACCGGATCAAATCCACCCCAGTACAACCAAACTTTGGTCACTTGCGTGGCAGAATGATCAACGTAAGGAAATAGAGCAAACAATTGTCAGCTGGCAAGATGATTCGAGCGTTTCACGATGTCCATTTTGCCAACAAGACTTTTCGGGCTATACGTTCCGCAGGCACCATTGCAGAACTTGCGGACGAGTCGTCTGCGGTGATCCTAGTACCGAGTGTTCTAGTGAGGTTGGGCTGAGCTTTTCTCCCGGTGAGTTCCGAGACGACCTTTCCCCTTGACCTTGGTCTGATTTTGTTCTAAAAAAACAGACTCGACAGCCACCTCTGAGAAACCTAATGGCGATAACCTTGTCAACATTGATGTGAGGCTGTGCAAAGAGTGTAAAACGACACTTTTCGATCGACGCGATTTTAAAGCAGATACGACACGAAAGTCACCAGAGATGAGGGCTTATGAAAACTTGGCCCAGTTTGAGAGAGGCATCCGCCTTCATCTACCTAGATTTCAGAAGCTGTTGACAGCTTTACAGTGTGTTTCTTGTTTCCAGTGTTCCAGTCAGTCACTAACGGCATTTTGTCAGGGATCCAATGCGACCTCCATCATCGGCCCAGATTGCAGATGCATCCAAGGTGCGCAAGCGACTGATCGATTCTTTTGCGCAATATGATTTTGCGGCTCGACGTATCCGTGACATGCCGACCCAGTCCCCTACCCAACAAAAGCTGCAGAAGGCTATATACCAACAAGCCAGCAACTTCCTCCACCTCCATATGTTGCCTTTGAAATCCCTACCCAAAACCCTTAAACATGCAACCCCTGCGTCGGAAAGAATCCCTAGCCGGACAAGCTCCCCACGAACAAGCTCCCCGAGTATTCCGGTCGATACTTCGACGACAGGCCTCCGGCCCCCAGAGTCTGCTCTTTCATCTATTAATTACAACAGCGTTGCTGCTAGCGGTAGCAATAGTAGCCTAGCCAGCGACACCAGCAGTGCCATCTCGGCCCTGGAAGCAGAAGAAAAGACTCTTCGAGACCGGTTGATCGTGCTCGAAGAGCAGAAGTTCTTTGTGTCCGAGATGATCGCCGATGCCAACCGGCGGCGCAAATTCGATGAAGTGAGCAGCCTAGCGATTAACGTTGAGGACCTGAGCCGTGAGATCGATCGCGTCAATGGCATGCTTGCGAACCTCGATTTCGAGGGTCTTTATACGGGGAATTCGCAGCCAAGTTCTTGACTTGAGTCTTCAATCGGTTGGGATTGGGATCTTTCTTTTCGTTCCCATGCGCTGCCTGCATATCTTTCCTCCTTGCGTCTTCTGGTCACCCACCCAGCTACTCTCGCTTACACCCTTCATAATTTTGATATTCTGGCGTTCGAGCACTTTGCTTTTCGATAATATATGTGCATGGCATCGGGCGTTGGTTCTTTCTAGTACATGTGTAATCAATGGCTTCGCTATATACAATTTAAGCTTTTTTCTATTTGAGATGGCTCATTTCCTTTTCGATGTCCACTATAGAGACAACTTAACCATTCAGACACAATATCTACGCGCAGGAGTCGTTGAACTTTCCTGTCATTTCAATGGCTTACTTAGAAACAAACCTATAACGAAGAAAACAGATTCCTGGAAGTAGACCACAACCATGAACCCCCATAAAGTCAAATGTCCTTCTTCGTGGCTTTGGCAAAGCTTCGAAGATCCGCACTTCTGGTAGACTACATACACGTTCATACTGACTTTGCGGCGTTTCATCGAATATCTCGGCGATCTAGGTCTCGTTTATATCCTTAGTCGATCCTTATAGCCTCTTAGGATCTACCATTAACTAGTAGTTACAACGGCCTTAATACGTTAGTCCTTTTACGTAGTATGGTTCGTAGCCACCCAAGGTATAGATACTAAGAGTACCGATTCGTTCTAAGTCGATATTTTAGCGTATATAAACATAGTTATACTAGCCCCAATATCCTCGGCTCATTGTGTAGATAAAAACTAGTCTTCGGTTGATAGTGTGAGGAAAGTGGAAATTAAGAATGTTAAAAGTGTTATCTCTTTGTCTGGTATGCTAACGCTGTTCGGTCTTTGAACCTATTTAGTGTTAATTAATTTCCGGGGGGGCTGGAAGTACCGTCGAATTTAACTACGATGTGCATAAACACTGTCCATTGGAACAATGTCTTCACACCATTCTACTATAGTCGTTGATCTTCAAGCAAAAAATAGAAGAGCCCAAAAAAAGAAATCTCAGGTTTGGTTTGTAGGAATAGCCGAACGCGGGGGTCGAACCCGCAGCCTTAAGATTAAGAGTCTTACGCTCTACCGATTGAGCTAGCCCGGCTGGGCTGTTGAAGAGACGGGCACAAAAGTGGCAGATGAAAGAACCTGTGGTCCAGGAATGTATGTTGTAGACTTACATGGTGGCGGTCTTAGCGCATCCTGCAGCCCCGTTGAGAAGCATATCTGCACGTAGAGTGGAGAGGGGGAAAAAAAAACTACATGCATCACATTATTTTCATATTTAACGTGTGGCGCAAAGCTCTTGATTCCTTAATATTTTCCATGGGGAAAGTGCTATATGTATATACACACCCTGCCTCGGGGAGGTATGGCCTCTTACCATCTCCTTGTCAAAATAATACTCACCGACCTACCCTGGTACGCAGGGAGCCAATGCAGCCAGCCCCCAGCCCTCCATGGAACAATGCGGAAAGGATACAGCCTAGCAATTCATGCAGGGTCCGTGGCCATCCAGACCGTGTCCCTTTGGCTATGAATTGTTGAGGCTCTATGCTGAAAAGCCATAATGATGTCCATCTCGAAGCCAATGGAAAGACACAATCCTCGGACTTTCTGCTCCAAGAAGAGCACGATGGAGCTGTGATGGTGAACCACTTATGAGAGCTTGCGAACAGGTGGCTCAGATAGGGCCCAAGACACCTTTCCCATCCATCGAAGAGTTGGAGATGCTTTGAATACCTGCCTAGAATTTCATTGATATACAGTAACAAACTACCTACTATCCACGGGGTTACAGTTGCTGCGATGTTCCCAGAGGATAGGCCCGAGCTCTTTAAAGCCCCCACACCGCAGCTGGAGAGTCTTCAAAACGACTTCTCAAATTTTGGGATTTTGTACCAAACAGACGACCAAAAAGCACGCAGAGAATGCTCATGGCAGTAAGCGGACTCGGCCGAGGTTTCCTTGCCGACAAGGTATTTCCTCGAAATCGAATGCAAACAAGCATGCTAGATGTTCTTATTGTGCTACTGTACTACGGGGATTAGATTGTATCACTGAAATAGTTATCCCAGTAGAATTCTCTTACTTCCCAACAACTGGTATGTGAAGCCCCGACGAGGTTACTCTACTTAATCCCAATGATTCCCCTCTGAGGATGTTGAAAATCCTAAACGTAGCCTGAAGCTCTTTAATAAGCTAATCCCGCAGCACTGCCACTCTGTATTAGAGTCGCTTTACCCAGTAGATTGGGGCTTGTCTATGATATTAGTTGTGTGCGGCGGCGAAAGGTGTCAGCGACTCCAATAGGGTCGAGCCTACGGATAAATTGGGTTACTATCGAAGGAACCCAGTAACTCCTCAAAGCGACCTCCGGAAACTGGGATAGGCCCGCAAGGAGTCAAGTTCAATACCTCATAGGGGCGTACCAATGCCGTGCAATACTGGCTTGGACAACGTGTGATAGCCAAGGCGATTCACGAATTAGAGACTGCGGTGCACCTCGACAGATGCATCTAGCCAGTTTGTTTCAACTGGTGTAGAGTGGAGCTAGCAAGACAGGGCCTCTACTCAACGCGTAGCATCTAATACTGAACCGCGTGAGATCCGTTGTGGGGCACCGTGAAAGACGAATTGTAGTACGGAATGTCTTTGTAAACAAGAGCGGAAAGAACGGATTAAAGCTTGAATACATTATAGTCTAGCTGACTACCCCGGGCAGCCGGTTACGATGTCTGATCTTCCGAAAGATCAAACGGTTTTTGAACATTGACTCCCTGAAAGAATGTGCTACCGTGTGTCGGATCCAGATCTTCTTGGCTACTCGTTCGGCTAGCCTCTGATCCATTCGAGGTGTGAATCGTCGTGATCACCGTATGGTGGTCTTCCCGGTTGAGGTCTGGTCGCCAGTATTGTGGGCTGGATGCGGTGGAGCGTTCTCCGTTGACGCCTGAAAGAGGCACACTGTCGGTGCGTGTGCTGTTGCTCTTGCTTCCTCCCATCGAGCTGGGATCGCGGAACCAGTGGAATAGTGGTCGAAGACTTACCAGACTGCCTGCGGTGATTCCGAGGCCGGCTTCGACATTGGACCAGATTGAGATGTTGGCGGTGGCGTCTGTTGGGTTGAGTGGTGTCAGTTGGGGCTGGTTATTACTCTGTTGATTTTACCGAGTGCATATGAATCAGAGGGGTGGAAACCCACCGAGGAAGTCGACACCCTTGTAGCTGTGTAAGAAAGGAATGCGAATCATGACTGCAGCGCTCGCACTATACCAGAATGGGTCAGTACTAAGGCTCTCTCACCGGGCATCAAAGGGTAGAGACACATGCATCCCATTCCCAGAATGGCCGCCAAGGCCCACTTAGTCCTTATGTTTGTCTGCAAGTTCCATACTAGGGCAATAGGCAAAAGACATAGGGCCAGATCACACAGTGTAGAAGTGACACTGTACACAAAGGCTATGGTACTGATGTGGTCAAGGTTTATGCAAGTGCCAGAAACTTTGGCATGAGGGTTCGACAACAGGCGAACTTGTTGCCAGAAGAACTCAACTGGTTGACATTGCAATATCAGCATGAGCCAGAAGACAAGACCAACAGCACAGGTGACGCCAATTGTAGCCCACAACACAAGCTTATGGACATTGGAAACCGCCAAGCGGAGGAGGGCGACTGCGATGGAGATCCTGGCCAGCGCACAGGTCCAGACATAGCTGGCTTGACCGAGCCACCACCACTTCGGAATGTTTTAGCCTGTGATCTTTCATCCTGTATGTGAAGGTTGGAGTCAAAGGCGAACCTACAAACATTGCGGTTTCCATCGTACCCCTCTTCACGAGATCATTGGACCTTTGTCCGATTCCATACAATGCGCCAGTGATACCACACACAGCGAACAAGATGTTCAACAACTGCAAATTCATCAGTCCTGACTTCGGTTGCACGTGTGACATACTGTACATACCATTGCGTATACCATCAAGATATCATCCCAGCCAAAGGCTCTGACAAGTCGAAGCCGCACAAAGCATCGTAGACATACGGTGGTCAGTGCGATTCCAAGGCAGGGTGTAGTAACGATGAAGATTGATTTGGCTGCGGCCTTCAAGAGGCAACATCTTGACCCGAAGAAGGTCTATCTGGTCACCAATTCATGGCCGGCACTCCGTACGGTTTCCCTACAAAATACCTATGCAAGGATATCCGAAGGAGCAACAAGACTTACCTTTAAATAGAGAAACACGTTACGATAAGAGAATGCCCACTCCCACGCAGATCAAGCCTTCGGGTCACGGGCATCAGCGGCGAGAACGGGCCAGGTGATGTTCTCGTGTTTACTCTTCTGAAATTAGACGGAGAAAAGGCGGAAAAGCAGAATGGAGCATCAAAAATAATACGCTTGTGAATATGGGGTTAGACATCTGCTCGAAAGGAACAAGGGGCTTTTGGACACCTGGGAACGAAATTCTGACATGGGTGTTACAATGTGTGGGCCCCCAGAGAGAATTGGAGAAAAGAGAAAGAGAACGCCTTGTTCGAATGGCTTCCAATCTTCTAAAGAATCTCCCAAAGGGTTTCTCAAAGGTGCTCCCAAAGGTGCTCCCTTGCAGAGACGGCAATTGGAAGAGATCTCTCCCCAAACCATGTGGAGGCCAGCATACTATTTTGAATTCGACCACGGGGGCTTCCAATGAGGTTCAAATGTTGCCGCTCAAGCCTCTTACTATATTGTACAAAAAACGATGTACAACTAGAACATCTTCGTACGCACAGGCCTCCTTTCTCCATGACTCGAGTCCACTCTTCTCCACATCCAACACCCATCAGTCGATGGCTGGAAAAAGATAGTCCATGGTAGCAACGCGATCCTATTGTGATGCTATTGCCCTATTCTACGGGTAGCCATTGCTGATAATCCGCTTTGAAATTTCCAATCTTGAAGGGTTTCAAGGTTGTCTTTAGGGGAAGCACTCCCATCCATCCTCAACCCAGGTGCACTGCATTCTCAGTTGCGGCTATTGCAGGCGATCCGTATCGAGGGTCTATGAACACTGACCATGGCGATCCCACACTTAGTCTAGGTCTCGTTTGATATGAACAGATCTGGAGGGTCAGTGTTCTGTTTGCAGGTAATGTAAATTGTCTCGATGTCCTACAACATAGATGGTGAAGCGAAGCATCGGTGACCTCGGAAGAGGTATGATCTGCAGTCCCACGGACATTACCTACAAATTCGACCCACAGGCGCCCAATCTTACTGAATCTTGCTGTCCCTGCATTTTCTGTTAAATGCTATTGGATCCTCGATAGTGGGTTCACTATCTCATAGGATATACAGCTAACTTGTCCAGACCGCTATTTCACTTTAATTTGGTCTTCCAGTGACACTATACAGCATAGGGATTTGCCCCCCGGCATACTCCGTACCTTCTACTCCCACCCCCACCTGCCAGCCCAACAATCTAACATGGGTCTCTTTAATCGGACTCTCAAGCTGACTATCGGCCAATTTACACTAGCTGCAATAATAATCTCGGCAGGCCCACTGATGGTCTTGGCACAGGGTCTTCTAAATTAGGCCTAGACCGCCCAGGGTAATATCCCTCGAACCATGGATCGCAGGATAAAGATGGGGCCCGTCCATTTGGGTAAAGAGGAGGGACCCAAGTGAAACTACTCCGCACATGCCCAGATGATTGTGAATGTGATTCGTAGTTCTCTCCTACTGACCGGGGTTGTGGGAAATATAGTGAGGCAGGCACTAGGTATACCTGCTTTTCGGACATGGACGACAACGAGGAAACAAAGCGAGTACGCTGTCTAGTTGGTGACAGGACGTCAAGCTTACCAATTAGGTTGGTTGTGAGATGCGTGCCGTGCCCTTGAATTCACTCGTATAGACTGATCTGCTGGTCATTGCTCTACCTTCCCATGTGTCCTCTGCTCCTTATGAGTCGATGATCACATTTCCAATGTTGCGACGCTCGGATCTCTACCCCACATGAGCTATGCTCTAGAATCTTTGACAGCCAGAGCAGTGAATTGGCTACATAATACAAAATCGCATGCTCGAATGAAGCCAAATCAAATATGTACATATCCAGTTGCACAGGGCACACGCTTAATCAAGCGGTAAGGCCTCCAGGGCGAAATTACTTCCATTGAGCAGCCTTGGTAGCCTGGAAAGTCTTCAGGATAGCGATCACCTTCTCCAAAGCAGCGACCTCCTTGGCCATTGCGGCAGCAACCTTGGCCTGATCCTGACCCAGCTTTGAATAGAAGTCCTTGCGGTATGGAGTGGCAGACATGGCAGCGCTGAAGATGGGCTTCACAATGAAAGAGTGGTGAGGCTTGAGGGTGTTGCCGTAGGCACCGCGGAAGGAGTCCGAGAGTTCCGAAGAGGAGTTATCGATGTTGTGGCGGAGAGCTTGGACGGTAAAGTCGAGGCCTCTGTTGAGAAGAACAAAAACTTAGTGAAAATTCCATCCTGATGTGTGCGGACGGAAGAGATGCCATGGCAATTGACCTCTTCCATCACGGTTGAGACAGGTGAACATACCGGACCAGCCAGACCAGACCTTCAGTGGCGACGTGCTTGCCGGTCTTCAATTCGTTCAGGACAAGGGCCTGCAGAGTTTCAGACTCGGCAGGAGCAGCTCGCTGACGCTCACGCACTTTCTAGGGGGAGGGCGTTAGACTGCGTTGGCAGCGACGGTATAATGTATTGAACGAACCTTGATGTTGCCGAGCAGGTCATTCTTGACTGGAGTGAAGGCGGCTGAGCCGAGGACGTCTAGATGTCTCCTGCATCAGTTTGAGGCACATTTATGCAAGGGAACCGCACAAACCAAAGAGAGTCACCAGTGACTCGGCGGCTTCGAGGAACTCGGTGGTCGAGACGCCATCCTCCGCACCGATAGGGACATCGGCGAAGGACTTGGCCATGGTATCAAACCATGTTCCATCAGCGGGAATTGAAGCCATTTTTGCAGAAGAATGGAAGTAGAAAATGGAGAGTGGGAGAAAGAGAGCTCAATCAGGAGGCTGTCGGATATTATCGACTCCGCCGCTGCTGCCACGCAAGCCAATGCTGGCGGGGCACACCGGACAAAGAGAGGATGCAAACAGTGTAAACGGCATCAACTCGGTGATGTGTCAACAACCAGTTTGTGATGTTTGCAGCATTTGTGTGAATCTTGTAACGACGTCATCGAAGCATGTTACATCGAGATTGGGCGATCGCGCTATGATCTTTGCGAGAAGTTCGTCGTGCCTGGGTTATCTGCTCGCTGCCGCACATGTTTGGTGCATGCCCTTTTGGTCCGCGAGGGCACTACGGAGTAGATCATCATGAGCTCTTCACCGGACCAGGCCAATGGGTCGCGACCCGAAACTGACCCAAGCTTGTCGTACCATGAACATTATCATGGTTTGCAGACAGGCTCATACACAGAGCAGCAGCTGGTATGCCTCCTTCTCTTGCAATTTGGGTCATAGAACTGACCTGGTATTCCTCGGCAGCGTCATGCTTCTGCCCACCATTTGCATATGACCAACCGGCGGTTCTTCGTCGGTCCAATTCCAGAAGGCTGGCTGCAAGGTCATCGTAAGTCCTGGTATAAAACTCGACTGAGAGTCAGGAACTATACATCGCATAATGTCTCGTTCTCTGCGGGCCCAGTTGCGACCTATTACAACGAACAGGATGATCGGCCTGGCCCATCGTCGCCCCATTTAGCTGAGGAGGTCGCCCCGGCGCTCACAAACACTGGCATAGAGGTCACCGAGGAGCAACATGATGAGATTGAAATAGAGACACGAGAACATTCTGCAGCAGAGCCTGTGGGGGAACTTAGGACTCTATCCCACCCTGACGCCGCAGCCAGCGGTGACGATCCCATACTAGAAGAGGACACAGAGCATAGTGAACATAGTGGAGGAGATGACGGAGGGGACAGCGGAGAGGATACAGACAGCACGCCCAAAGCCAGAACGGGGAGCAAATGTGACACGTATGGCAATGACCTTGCTTCGTCTTCGTTTGTCACCGCCAGAGAAGAGGTCGCCAGCTCTGCAGACACGGGACAATCAGTAGCCACCATACGAGCTGGTAGATTGGAACCGCCTGAGTTGCGACCAAAATCTGGGGCTTCACGCAACACACATTTGACGAGTCATTCTTCCCCCACCACTCTGACCTCCAATCCATCCACGGTCCCAAGCGAAGCCGATTCCACAACAGAGTTGCTTCGAAGCACGTACATGGACAAAGGGAAACAGAAAAACAAGGCACCTGGCGTATCTCGAGCAACGCTTCAACACCACGACCCACAAGATGAAGATGAAACTGGCGAAGATGCGCAAGTCCAACGGAGAATCACGAGGAAAATGGCAAAGTTCAACCTGGATGACAACATCAGATACAGGCAGCAAAAGATGCGCTCCAAGATTGAAAAGACCCAAGGTACCATCTCTGCCAATCGACCGCACCGACGAAAAGTGCAAGATGGAGAGATTGTCAAAGCAGAGAAAATGCTGGTCTGCGTGGAACAGACTGTGCAGGACACACTTCCCGCCGATTACACCGAGAATGACAGCCTGCGCATGGAAACACGAACCGTGGATAAATGGAGGGAGTTCCTCGTCGTGTGCCGCAAAAGCTCTACAGAGCATACGCCATTTTCCATTCAGATGTACCGTACTCGTGTAATTCCAGATGTGCAACGCCCGAACAGCAAAACGCCTCCTTATTACGAAGTAGGGCTCAACCATAAAAATGCCCATGTTAATTTCTATTCCCCCCTCGACAAAACCATCGTCATATGGCATCCTTGCAAGCGTGGAACCAAAATTTTCATCCTTCGTCCAAAGTCTGCGGCGCACTCGGCCGAATGGTACACTTTCATCCGCCAGGTACTTGGGTGGCGGCGTCCCACCTCGCTCCCTATCTATGTCCCTGATTTAGGAGTTTCCCTCATTTTCAAAAATCCTTTCAGTCAACTTGACGCTGAGCTGAATGCAGATAACTCTGATAGCGACCACGCAGCAGCTGCTGCTGCGGACAGGCCGGCAGTTGATAACAGATTTGCTGCCGCTGCCATCATCCGAGGATGCATGGAAATGCTCGAAGGCCGTGCCGAGTGGGCCGAGGTCTTGAAAGCTTGGTCTAAGACTGAGAAGATGGGACTTGCTTGGAGGCGATATGATCGACTTGAATGGGTATTTGGAGTCAATGAGGAAAAGATGTATGGGACCATTGGGATGCAATCATCTCACGAGCTTGAGTTACGACCAAGACATCATTACTCTACTACAATCAGGCATCGGGGCATACAGTTGGAGCCTGCCCCGATTGAAGGATTTCTAGTCCGTCTCACATCCCAGAAGGGTGTGCATCAGCGGATGAACAAGATGTTCTTCAAACGGCTGTACTTCTTTACCCAAGATCATTATTTGTTTTTCTGTCGACCAGCCAAGGCATTGCCCCCGCAACCACCGAAATGTGCTCTCTCAGATGACGGAAGTGTACCAACTGCCCGTGAAATCTTGGATCGAATGCCGCTCTCCTGGGAAATCGATCCATATCCACTTGAAGATGGTCGGATTACATGGCTCTCCAGCGGCAATCAGGAATTCGTCAAACGGCACGACGAAGAGGCCTATGCGCACGTGCAGAGAAATGTACACAACATCAGCCAATCAGATGGGTGTATCGATATGTGCCGGGTAAAAGAAGTCCGCAATGTCCATCGTGGCAGCTGCGCTGCCGACACCGACGTCCGGGAAGGGCCTGCTGTGGACTTCAATCGTGAGCCCAGAGACTCACGGCAGGATGATGGAGCAACGCGAGAGTTTGACGATGGTCGGACATTTGAAATAGTTCTTGATAATAATCTTGTCGTTCGACTCCAGGCGTACGATGGTACCACACGGAATGAGTGGGTCAAACGACTCGATGCGCTTGTAAATTATTGGCACACCCGCTGCACAGATGATGCCACGGAGCTGCAGGTTGTAAGGCAGCGCAACCTCAAGCTGTTAGACATCGACGAAGCCACGGAATCCGCTGTCGGGCAGTTCGCGAAGAAGTGGGAAGTGAAGAAAGCCGAAGCATCTCCATACTTGCACAACATGTGCTCACTGTCTGGTTGTCGGACTATTAAGGTAAGTTTTCGCAGCCTAAAAGCAGACACACACAAGCACAACCCACTGACAATATCAACAGATGTCCGGCCACCTCTATCGCAAACCTCGTCGCCATACCACTTTTCACCAACACCAAGTCATTCTCACAGCAGGAAAGCTGTTGATTTTCGGTAGCACACTTCGCAGGCGAAACGGCACCGAAATTCCGCACATTCATCAAGACCTTGAAGCGACCATTGACCTGGAAGATTGCTATATTTATTCTGGTTTGATTACCGACAACGACTTGCTGTACGGCAATCAGACATTCAACAGCAACAACCCTGGTCTTCACGCTCTGCCACGGATTTACCTCGATTCGGATACCTTCACAAGTCGGGATGAGGACACCGCTATCACCTTTGTGGTCTGGCAACCCTTGAGTAAAAGCTACTTCCGAGCCCAGGAAATGGGGGAACAAGGCAAAGCTAAACGATCCTTGCGTCATGTGTCGACTCTGGGTAAGCATGGCCGCACCATCGTGTTTAAAGCACGTAGTCGTGTGGAAAAGGACCGTTGGGTGATGAGCATTTCCTCGGAAATTGACCGTCTCCAGGAAGAGAAACACGAAGATATACGGCTGATTTCCCCCTAATGACTCATTTAATTGCTGTGTTGTCCACATTTGTTGGTATATACCACTTCGTTTTCGCTTTTCTTTTCCTGTTTTCGGTCCTTTCACCCGCGTGCGCATAGCAGGGCAATTTTTCTAAACCCCCCCCCCAAAAAAAACACGCAAACCAGTGATACAATGAGATCCAAAATACGTTCCTCAGATATGTACAAGTCCCAATCTACAACATCACCAGACGTGGGAAGATCAAGTTCCATCAACCAGTTTAAAAGGCCTATAAATTTGCAAATCCCACATGGAAACCAGCCAATCAGTTCAACATGGGCTGCTCAAGCTTAACGGCATTCTTCACAACACGATCCCGCACACTTTGTCGATACTTATCCACAGTCGCACTATCCGTCGACGCAGACTCCCTCTTCTCATTTTCCCAGTCCGTCCACTTCAGCCATCGCATCCGCGGTCCTAGCACCGCAAATACTCGTCCAGTAACCAGACTGAGACTGACAGGCCCATATGTGTTGCTATCCAGTGTCTTCCGCGGATCCTCCGCGTCACCCTCCAACCAGACGTGATTCCAGGGGACGATCTGCGTTGGTCGCAGACATGGCTCACGGGTCGTGATTCGGTCCCCGGGTAGACCGATGATGCGCTTAATAGCGATATGAGACGGGTTTGCAGGGGAGCTATATGTCTCGAAGAGATTGTCAGTTTTTGTTGCTGCACTTGACTCAATCATCAAACACGGTATGAGAGGAAAAAGTAACAAACGCGCATAGGAAAACCCACCGGAAAGTAACAATCATCCCTCGTTCCAGCTTCCGCTCCTTCTTGAACGGCAATATAGATCCCCACGGCCACATGCTGACCATCACTATATCGCTTTTCGTTTGTGTTTGCGCATACTCCTCGTTCAGGTAGGGTGTCATTGATGGCCCGCGAACCCACATTACTTGCATAACATGTTCTGGGAAGAAAAGTACGATCGGGAGTATAGGTACTGCCCAGCGGAGAGTGCGACATGCTTGTCGGACTGGGTATGGGAGGGCGGAGATGCGGTGGCGGAGGCTAGTGAGGAAATATGAGAGGGCGGGTCTTTGTTTGGAGAGGGATGGGCCCTCATATGTCGAGGGTTCTGGGATTTGGGGCTTTGGCTCTTCGCGGACATGGACTCGGAACCGCGGGTTGGGGGTTGGTACTCCTCTTGGCCGTAGCGGTTTCGACATTTTCGGAGTTGAAGGCGGAGGTCGAGGGTTTGCGGGGTCGGGGGATTTGCGGGCGCAATTGATTGTGTTGAGGATGGGGTATTCAGGTCAGGTGGTCGGGTTTCATTATGGAGCTTTGATTGTCGAGGGAGACTTGGAATTGGAATTGGAGTGAAGTGGTCTCAAGCTGGAATCATGATCAAGTGCGCGATCTGATAGGTTGTTTGCACTGTTTGCTTCTTGTTCGAACGAGTGAGCGGACACCAAGACCATGGTCTTCGTAGAAGATCGTAAAAAGAAGAGAAGAAGCTGCGTACAGACCTATCTCAATGATGAACATCACTATTACTGACATGACAGCTCTATCTAAGTGTGGGTACGAACCGGTCGATTTCTCATCTGCGCCTAATGTGCTGCCAGCATAGCGAACGAAACACGAAGATGGAGGGTGGTAGTTTCAAGGAGGCCTTGGAGTAAAAAATCGCTTCTAGGTTGACAAGATATTACAGGGCGAGAAAGATTACATTTCGTTGAATTCATGTGATGGAGGTCGAGAATCAGATCGGGGGTATTTTGGTACATGCCTCCACTGTGGGCATACCGAGTAAGGCGAGCAACATCTAATTGGCATCTCGATTTAAGCAACATAGCCCTCAGTCAAGTCTTCCTGCGTGGGAGGAAAATACTCCCTGTCATCACAGTCAGTCATTGATCAAGCAGTGGAAGCAAGGGACCAAGCTCACGGAATGAATTCCTCATAGGCGGCCACATCCTTGCGCTCAAAGTTGCAGAAGATGACACGCTCCAGCTTTCCGGCATTAGGTCCAACGAGGAATTCTCGCACTTCTTTGAGCGCATCTTCAGCAGCTTTTCGACTGGGGTAGCCATAGGCTCCGGTGCTGATCGCGGCAAAGGCAATGCTCTTCATGTCGTTTTCGACAGCCACTTCCAGACTGCGTCGGTAGCAGGATCGAAGAAGCGCGACGGGGTCTGCTTCTCTTCTATATATTGGGCCGACTGTGTGGATCACACGCTTGCAAGGCAGATCGTAGGCGGAGGTAATCTTTGCATCGCCAGTCTCACATCCATCGAGATGGTAGCATTCTTCAACCAACTTGGGACCTGCAGCTCGGTGGATGGCACCATCTACGCCCCCCCCCTCCGAGGAGAGACTCATTCGCAGCGTTTACAATGCAGTCCACTTGGAGCTTGGTGATATCATTGCGGATAGTAGCGATGGTGTTGTTGAGAGACTGTGATGACGCCACGGTTGAGGACACCGAAGGGAGCTGCTTCGTGCGGTACAGAAGTGCCACGGTGGGAATATCAACCAGGGCCACCAGGGAAGACATGATGCAGAAAAATCTCAGCCAGGTTGGATCCGACAAGAAATCGGAGAAGAACAGTCTCTACTATGGAAGCTCAAGTGGGGATCAGCCAAGCTCCGTGCACGAGCCACCCAATGAGGTCCAGTCACGTGAATCCCGGTCGAACGTGCCTGCGGCGTTGCAGGTTAACGGGAGATGTTCGGTATTTTTGTCAGGCAAAATGGCTAGACTGGGATATCCATTGTTTCGAAATCAAAAAATCTTGGTGCCTCGATGAAGATCCTAGCCATACATCCAATTAAATAGAAACCCAGATGAAATCCCTAAATCTCACGCCTCAGGCGTTAAGACCGACCTCAGAGAGAGGAATATTCAATCATAAATTCAAATGCTTCCTTGTTTCTTGTGGAAATCCTCCTTAAAATCACTCATGCTTATGCCTCAAGTAGATTACAACATAGGTCTGACCAATGCTGAAGCCTTTACCGTAGAACATGACTCTCGGGGGGAGGAAGGGGGTGGGGGTTATGATACGAAACTCATCATCTCTATGTTGTATGCACGCTGTACTCCGCATTCCGCACAAAACAGTCTCATCCTATGATTAAGTTTCGACCACGAATCATCCCGCTGCAATGTACTCCATACGGCAAGCTGCATTGCATTACCGCATGCACCTAGCCCAAAGAGACGGGAGTACCGTACAGTCTTAGGGCGTAGTATTCCCGGTCAGGGCGCCATCATTGGCCCTATAAGACCCGTGACAGAAAAGGTACGGTGTGTGAGTCTTAATCTGAGTGCAGCTTGGAAGCTAGTACGGACTGGACCCGAGAGCCAAGCCCGGGATTTGATCTTGGGGACAGCAGTGGAGGGGCCAACAGGAGACAGGGTGATTGGTGCGAAACCTCGGTGGCACCTGCTTGACGTTTTCTCTGTGGATCAGGCAATTTTGCCACGGATTTTCGAGGTTGTCGCGTAAGTTTCCTCTAAAACCAAAGATGGGAGAGAGATGCTGGACGTTTAGCACAGAAGTCACTACAACATATACAACATATACGACTCCCAACCAGATTGCAAATCCCGAATCGCACTAAAACTGAAAACTGGAGTAAGCGCGTTTGTTGTAAACACACTAGCTAGACTGCCCAGATCCCCGGGGCCGTGACTGTATTGGGGATTAGGGTATACAACATATACCGGCCGAGAGTCAACAGACCTCCCCTTCACGAGATGGGGGGGAGGAGGAGGAGGAGGAGGAAGGTGTGTTGTCCTCGGTATCGGGTGTCAAATTACTCCGTACGGCGTTCTTAGGTTGTCGAGTGTGGATTCACATTTTCTTCGGCCCACCTGAAGATCCTAACAGACCCTGCCAGAACCTGTCAGATCGTGGACCGCCCGTTTTCATATCAGTTTCCTTTTTAAATGGAATGACGGATCTGCCGGGACCTAGCCCATGTGGTTCTGGTATGATTGACGATTGCCGATCCTTCGGTCTGGTATTCCAGGGAGATTTTTCCAAGGTTTCCACTAGCTCATCCAGTCACCCCCTTGAAGCGACAAAAATAGCGTTGCAATCTATTGGTCAACTAGGGGAATGTACGGGATAAAAGGAATCGCAAAATTTTGACTCCACTCACAGGATTCCCATCGTAGGACCACTCAGAGCGAACTAGTTCTTTCGGTTCTTTTTTTTTTTTTTTTTTGGTTTTGTAAATTAGATCCCCATAAAAAAAAAGTATAAGATGGAACAAAAGGATCTGGTGGATACGATGGAGATTTCGTACTTTCGTCAGATTGTTTTGTTTTTTTTTGGGGTGTTCTGGAAGAAACAGCTAAAATCAAATCGAACTCTTTGTAACGGAGTGCTCCGTAGCCGAAGAATGACAAATCACCAGAGTTGAAATTAAAATCTTCTTCAGGCGGATTCTCGCAGCTGTCAGATTCAAAGTCCTCCAATCATGGGGGGTCTTGTCGTCTTCCTATTTGCCATATAGCTCAGATTCGAAAAAAAAAGGAAACTTTATTCGACCTGACTGGGGGAATCCTATTCGTCCAGCGAGGGAGATTAATATGTCAATGGGCTAGGCGTGTTGCTAATGCATTCGAAAGGTGTGGGTGCATAACACACCTGTCAAAAGATCCCCAACGAGCTAAAATCTGCAGCTGGAGATGTATAGCCATCGCGACTAGACCCTTGATTCGGGCTTTGGGGTTGGATAGTTGGTGCGCTTGCATAGAACCAGTCCTCGTCTACAACATATTCGGCTATATGCCACGACGGATTTGGAATAGTCTCAGAGGTTACGAGTCATGGAGGGGGAAAAGACCTTTAGAAGACAATGCTTTCAACCCCGAGAGATCGATCAAGACATCATTTAGGGATCAGAGGTATGGAGTATAGGGTGTATTCTGCCAGAATAGCAGATGCGCCGAGCGACGTCGCTTGCTTTGAAGCTTTTGGCCTTTCTCAGAATCTTTGCGAAGGTTTCCATAATGATCATCATCCACTCCGTCCAATGAAGAACCGTGTGAACCTTCGCCGAGATGCGGCCGAGCCAGTCCACTTCAAAATGGGACCGGAAGGATTCCCGTGCATATGATATATATGATTTATATGATTTATAATCTACTCCGTACTGCGTACTGCATTCACAACATACAACATCTACGTATTTCGATAGTACTGTGATCGCCAGGAAGTGGTCTCGACTACAGCAACCAGACTCTGTAAATTCGAAGGAGATCAATCCCGTTGAAGCAGCACTCTAGAAACCGTCGATGTCGAGCACAAATCTGTCGTCTTGATTTGCTCATTTGTAGGAAGGGACTTCAGAACGTGCCCTGGGGGGATTCGCCGAGAGGGCAGGTGCTTTTCCAGCGTACAATGTTGTAATGCGCCAGTCTCTGCTGGGCATCCGGGGTGAGATGGGCAGAGCACTGGGCGATCTGCTGAAAATAAGACCTCTTTGATCTTTCGCAACCGAGATGCACAGGAAATGCAGCGTTATCAGGGCCAACCCTCGAGAGGAATTTAGCAGCTTGACTCCCTACTCAGCCAGCCGTCCCGACCCACGAAAAAACCACCAACTTCGCACGCGTACTGAGGACATCTATCATGGCAATCACCAGCACAGGCCAAACGGCAGATAACTCCCGAGGTCCGCAGGAGACGAAAATCGTTGCTATTGTGGTACTCCGTAATGAACCTGATGTACGGAGGACGGAGGAGCAATGGAGCGGAAATCTGGAGGGACTGTCACTGTATCCACTGCGTCTCCACCGGCGGATCTTAATTTATCCAAGCCGTTTTTCTCATTTCCTCGCGTGGCTGAGAATGGAGTAAATGGAGTGCAATCTCCCACATCTCTCAACCCGATCTCCGTTCTCGGCCTCGGCGGATTTGTGTCTTTGTATCCGCACGGATTAGAGACCTGAGCCGGATTTGTTGGAGTGAGCGTGTGCAATTTGCATCAGTACGGCATGTCGCACCTCGTAGATCAGCTGACTCGGGTCTGTTCTCCGCAGAATAGTGAGATCGGCATGAATATACGATCAATATCGGGAGTACTATTCAGGTCAGGTACTTTACACCCTGCCTAGGCGGTTCTATCCGACATTCACTCGGAGATTTCCAACGGCGATCAAGGTGGTTCTTTCGGGATTTGCGCAGATTGCAAACCTGCAGTATCAGTGGAGTCGACGGGATTCCTCTTGTGACGATGATGTGGAGCATCTCAAACGGCCTGTAATCTCGTTGATCTCTCAGGGGAACTTTTGGCTTAAGCTAACCTCGTATAGGAGCTACTGACTGGCCCTAAGCTACTTAGTCTCTGATGGAAAAGTAGGGGAAAGCAAAAGGGACGGAAAAAAAAACAAAAAACGGAACTTCCAACAGAAATCCCAAAATCTCTCTCCCCGCCGATCGAAGCGGTCTATCTTGTGGTGGAGTCTGGGAACGGTCCGGCTTGATTTCCCCGTTTTTATTTTTATTTGGTGGTTGTTTTAGCTTTTTTTTTTTTATAAATTATTTCCCCTTTATCACCGTGGAGATTCTTCTAAATGTCGGTCTGTCAACAATCCACATACGAAGGATGAGCGAAATGAGGAACTTCCTGGCCTGGTAGCTTAAAAGAGTTTTCCCGGTGCACAATTGAGAACGTGCAGATGTCAATAGAGATCAGTGGCGAAATCAGCGGGGAAAAAAAAAAAAAAGAAGAGAAAAAGCACAGGATTCATTCTTCCATCGACAACATCTAAGATGTCCTATGTCTGAGTCAGGGGAGAAACAAAAGAGTGATGTATAGGTCTGCACTTGGAAATGTCCAACATCGATATCACAACATCATATCACTGGATGGAGAATTGTTGTATGTTGTATATTTGAGCAAAGCCCGTATCAATAGTTCTGTCCGAGCTAGTTTCAAAAAGAGAATTTCCACCGGAAAATCATAGATCTGATACGTTTCGATGAGGAGTTCGGTCTAATCGGTAACCCAGTAAGACACACTAAGACATCTTGCAGGATAAAACTTCCCGTTAAGCCCAAATCATATCCCTCTAGTCCTCTTCTGGCGCAGTACGGCCAGAGAACCCTTGCTAGTTCCAAAAATTAGGCCCTGTCAACGTTGGTGCCGTTCCTTTGCCGTACATGCAGATTGCCCGCGTTGCAGATTTGTCCTGATTTTTGGAAGGAAAAGAAAAACCGCATTTTCCCCACCTCGTCTCTTCTCCTTGGTCAATCTCTAGACCGGGATCGGACCCTCTCTTCCTTCTCTCTTTTCCTCGTTGTCTTTTGGTCAACTTGCAGCTGTCAACTTACTCTTTTGAGACGAGAGATCGGAGGGATCCC